TGCTCGTTAGAATTTCGTTATTATGGGCATTATTATTATTATTATTAATTATTATTAATTATTATTATTATTATTATTATTATTATTATTATTATTGTTATAACATTTCTATGCCTCCCCTTGCCGAAACCTCGGGGCGGCTTACAACATGATAAAATACATTGAAATACAATAGTACATAATAAATTACCATTAAATATAAAAATACAAAAAATACATTGATTTACAAATACAAAATTAAAATGATCAGTATAAAATAAAAATATAGGAGGAGAAAGAGAAGGAAGAAGAAGTTGCCCAGGCCAGATCATATATTGAAATGACGTTGAAATAAAAAGGTCTTTACCTGGCGCCGAAAAACCAGTAACGACGGTGTTGTCATCAGTAATGTCTTCAGCATTATTAACATTAATAGCAATACTTAATTGGAAACATTAAGTATTAAGGCAGGTGGTACGCAATTTATTAGGCCCGTTCCAAGCAGTGTGCAAGCTTTGGCGTTCTGCAGAATTCCTCAGACAAGCTGCCGGAGAAGACAGAGAACTGCGTCTCCCACAAAATGGATAATATAGGATGTTGTTGGTATTAGAAATCTCAGTCCTAAATACATGTTCCATCACAGGGCTTAGCTCAGCCCAAATCCATATGCAACCTTTTTATTTCTCCAGAACTCTTAATTAGGCAAGTTAGTAAAGGAAAAGGGGGATTGGGGGGGCGGGCAGGGAGAAAATTGCAGATTTTGAGGCTGCGAGAGCTTTGCTTCGGACTGCAGCCCTAAGACAGCATGCAGTGGGAAGCTGTGTTCATACTGGGCTCCTTCCAGTTTCCTGTTGCAGCCAGAACTGCCGGGAAAAGGAGCAATGCCGCAGTTGGTATGAATAAAGGTCTGCGTTGGTTATTTATTTATTATGTATTTATTAAAACATTTCCATGCCGCCCCATTCGCCGAAGCCTCGGGGCGGCTTACAACATAGATAAGACAATAAGTTAAAATATCCGTATAAAAGAATCTTAAATTAAAACACACATTATAAAATAAGCCGCCCTGGCCAGATAAAATTCGATTGTATTTAGCGTTTAAAATGTTGCTTAAATAAAAAGGTCTTCGCCTGGCGCCGAAAAACAAATAACGACGGCGCCAGGCGGGTTACCCAGATTTGCCCTACAAACGTGTGATTTACTATCAAGTCCAACCAGAAGTTTATATCTGTGGCAAAAATATAAGCATGTAGTTATGCCAGTAAACGAAGAGTAACAAAATAATGACCTTACTTAAAGCTTGCAAAATGTTCAGAGGGAACAGTGGCGTTTCTTTAGCATTAACCATCATTTCAATTGTTAAAACATAGGATCTGGCCGGGGCAACTTCTTCCTTCTCTTTCTCCTCCTATATTTTTATTTTATACTGATAATTTTAACTTTGTATTTGTAAATGTATTTGTTTGTATTTTTATATTTAATGGTAATTTATGATGTACTATTGTATTTCAATGTATTTTATCATGTTGTAAGCCGCCCCGAGGTTTCGGCAAGGGGCGGCATAGAAATGTTATAATAATAATAATAATAATTATTATTATTATTATTATTATAGGTGGCATAAAGAAGATGCTAGCTAAGAAGGAAGTGCAGATCAGCTTTGCTCCCCATTCAGGCCATCCCCTTTTTGCCCGCAGGAGCTTTTTGTGGAGACCCTTGCCAGAGACGCCTTTGCCTATTCCCAGCAAGGGAAAAGGAAGACGCTCCAGAGGAAGGACCTGGGTAAGGGAGCGGTCCTCTGGCCGACCTGCCTGGCTACCGACAAACACAGATGCTGTGGCCTGACGGGGCAGATGGCTTGCTGTGTGTTAGCACAGGGTAGGCAACCTGTGGACGCTTGGGCCATGCCTGGTCTCAGCACTAGCAAAAGGATAACCAAGGTGAGGGAGGCTGGACAGCACAGGCCCAAATAGCTGAAAAGCCACAATTCCCCTTGGTGTGCTTCCACGTAGAGGAAAGCTTGTTCTGGCCCATCGCTTTGCGTAGCTTTCAGACGGGATCGGGCAAGAGATGGTTGTCAGTGCTTATGGCTCCATGCTACTTAAAGGACTGCAGGCCTCCTGTTGCTGGGGAAGACGGGAAGGAGGCAGCCCTTGCCGGCGGGTCCTGCTTGTGGGATCCACAGGCAGTTGTCCGCTTGCTGTGTGCACAGCATGCTGGAGTTTTGGTCTGTTCCCACCACGGGGTCCTCACAGGCTTGTTCTGGAACATCTTTGCACAGCAGAAGCGGCTCGGTGGCCCATCCCGTCTTTCGCCTTGGCCTCGGCTCCTCTCCTCTGCTTCCTTTGCAGCCAGTCTTGCCTTCCTCCACCCTGACCTCCCCACTCCTTGCGAGGCAAATGCAGACACCTCCCAGCGGGTGAAAAATAACACAAGTGGAGCACCTGGCTTTGGGGTAGAGAACTCCACCTGAAGCTGCTGCGAGGATGCAAGCTTTAATTTCTTAGGATGCAACCTGACGTGTATTCGCACAGGAGAAATAAGTCCTTATAATGCCTGCACTGAAATTGTAGGTCTTTCTTCTGTCTAAACATGCGTCAGATTGCTCCCTCAGTCGCCTTTCTCTTAAAAAGAACAGACAGAAGTCTGCTTCTTCTGCCTGCAGGTTGGTTCAGCCATCGGCGGCTCCCAGTCCTTGAGGAGTCCAGGATGGAAGGGGCTGCAAGACCCTGGTCCATCAGCTTGACCTGTGAGCGAGCAGGAACTCTTGCTCTGTCACAGCGTAGCTCTCCTTAGGTGCTCCATGCAGCAAAAACTTTTGTAGGGTTTGGGTTCCTTTACAAGGCTGGTGTATCCCTCTCCAGCAACCTGCCAGCGTGACACAACAACATCACCTTAAGGGGCTACAGAAGCTGAGTTTCTGAGTACCTTTGCACTCCTGTACCATTACACATTAATTGGTATTTATCTCCTCTTTCCTTCTGGGGTTGCTCTCTTTACTGCAGACAATGCCATTGACGCAACAGACGAGTTTGCATTTCTGGAAGGTAAGTTTCTGTCTTCTATGCTGTGTGTTTGCCTTCTTGGACATGATCAACGCTCTTTGAAATGGCTGAAGTCCAGAAATAAACCACTGACTTTCATACTGAGATGGAAAACGGTTTTCCCGAAGCCAGCAAGTATCGCATGGGGCGACCTGACATGAAAGCGCAGAGGCTTTGCCTTCTGTCACAGACTACAAAATGATTGCCATATACAGACCTGCATATTGTAGTTTTTATGCTGGATTTTATTTCTGCTTTCTGTTCTGCCCAATAGCCAAAGCTCATTGGGAGCACCTTATAAAAATATAAAAGCCAGATAATGAAATCATAAAAAATACACTGCAAAATCTGGAAGCCGCATTCGAAAAGCTATGCCAGTGAGCTTGAGTTGACTTGCCTCCCGAAATAACTGGGCATAACTTTGGTAAGATTTTGTTTGTTCTCCTGGCACATCTCATATACTGTCTAAAACGGTATAGTTTGTGGTTGGGTCCCTGCCTTCTCTTTCTGCGCGCTGTGTGGCTCTGGGCCTCACATAAACTCAGAAGGATGCTTTTTGCCAATTGCACAAGTGCCTGTCTCCTCCTCAGAGCTTCACTTTCTTCATGGGTGGGCATGCAGGTACGCTGGACTGACTGGACGAAGAGGAATTCCTGGAAGGAAGGAGCACGCGGAGCTGTGCAGTCCAAGCCAGAGGTGCAGGATGAGACTCTCTCAGACGGAGGGGTTTGCTTTGCCCTGCTGGACCTGCCGTGTTCAAAGTGGCACTAAAAGTGGCAGAGCCCCGTGTTGCTTATATATGTTATTCCCCTAATGCTTTGTATAAAGTCTGCATATTGCTAATTCTTTAAATACACACGTCTTTTCCCCACACCTTCTTTGTAATTCTGTTACAACATCCTGAGTTGCAGAAGCTCGAGCTGCCCTGGAACAGGCGGGGAGCCTCAGGCCTGGGGCCTTCTCCCTGGATCACTGGCCATGTGGTGCTTTCTTGACCTTTGTGCGGTGTTTGTCCCTCTGGGAGGCCCCTCATTGCAGGAAGGATATAGCCAGGTTGGAGTCAGTGCAGCGCAGGGCCTCAAGGTTGGCGGCCGGTTTGCAGGGGAAGCCGTATGAGGCGAGACTGAGGGAACTGGGCCTCTTCAGCCTGGAGGAGAGGCGACTCAGAGGGGATCTGTTGGCGACATACAGGTACGTGAGGGGGTGTCATATGGAGATGGGTAGAGACCTGTTCTCCCCTGCAGAGGAAGGCAGGACGCGCTCCCACGGAGCCAAGCTCAGGGAACCCAGCTTGCATTTGGATGCCTGGAAGCACTTCCGGACAGTCAGGACCCCGAGGGTGTGGAATGGGCTTCCCCGGGAGGTGGTTGAGGCCCCATCGGTGCGGGTGTTCAAGGATAGGCTGAACATGCACATGGTGGGCATGTCGTGAGCGGAGCCGGCTGGAGCCGGGGGTCAGACTAGATGGCCCGGGAGGCCCCTTCTGACTCGCTCTGTTTTCTGTGTTTCTATGTGCCTCTCCCAAGCTTCCACACGCTGTTCCTGGGTGCACTGCTGGCCCTGCCCTTCCTTTCAGCTCCACTCATCGTGGAATGTGACCGCCGAGAAGTTCTCTGAAAGGGAATCTGGAATTCCTCAGACTGCGGGAGGTTCTGGGCACGAGGAATCATCCCTACTGCGCCCTGGGCCTCTTGAGGGCTGGACCTGGAGGGGAACCCTGTCTGGGACCTCTGTCCCTTCCATTTTGCACCTGCTTGCCCACCACTGGGGGTGACCATGAGCCATTTTCCCCATTGCTGCTCCTGGAAAGCCCTGGGGCAGGGTGGGTGGAGGCAGGGGCAGGATGCGGGTCTGTCCCACTCCTCACCGCTGTGGGAAGAGAGAGGCCTTCTTCAGTCCTTCAGCCCTGTGTGAATCTCGCACGGCACCGAGTCAGGCCGCGGGTCCTGCAGCAGAGCATTGCTTTTGTGGACTGGTATGCGGTTGAAGGTGGCGAGGGGCCCGGAAGCCCTTTCCACTAGCGGGGAATGTGGCAGTTGTCGTCCCAGCACCTGTGCAGGTCACCAGGTGGGGGTGGGCCAAAGTAAAATGAGGAACATCGTAAAGAGAGACACCATCGGCACGCTCCCTTATTCGGAGCCAGTGCCATCCGCCCAACAGCCCTGCAGGGTAGGCGAGGCAGAGACCCGGAGTCGTACAGTGGGTCAAATGCTGGGCTGGGACTCGGGGAAATCCAGTTTCTGCTCCCTCTGGGGCTGAGGTGTAGCGGCTGGCTTGAGGCCAGTCCAACCATAAGCTGCCCCACTGAATTGTGGGGCTTAACCAGAAAGGAGGTATTTATTAGCTACCTTGGACCCCTTGCAATATACCTGGCAGGACAGGCCTTGTTTGGTGTATTCATAATGGAACGAGCGCTGGTGTTCATGCCATCCATGGGAAGCGCCCCCTGCTTTGCTCCCCTGACGGTGGGGAGGAGAGCTACCCCGAGTTCCATCTGCCTGGGCTAATGGGCAGGAAGCTCCGTGGTTTGGCAGAGATTCTGGGGTTTGGAGCCTGTTGCGGGCATCTCGCTCATCTCCACGGATGTGAGCAAGCGGCTGAATGAGAATCGAATTTTATTTATTTATTTATATTGTGATTTATATCCTGCCTTTTTCCTCCAAAGGGCTCAAGGCAGCTTACATCTCCTCCTCCATCTTCTCCCCACAACAACAACCCTGTGAGGTAGGTTGGGCTGAGAGTCCGTGACTGGCCCAAAGTCACCCAGTTGGCTCCATGGCTGAGCGGGGACTCGAACCCAGATCCTCTGAGTCCCGGTCCCATGCTCTTAACCACGACGCCACACTGGCTCTCATGAGCCAGGGGGCATTCAGGGAGGCCCCCCCCCCGCCCATCTCCCCGCGATCCACTTCCTCCTCCTTTGGTGGAGCGCATGATGGCTGCATCCACACCACAGGGCAAGCTGGAGCACGGGCCGAGCGCCATACTGCCTGCACTCCGGCCCGTGAGGATCGCCTCGACGCCCATGCAGCTTGGGCAGGGGCAGGTGGAAAAGGGGGTGCTTGGAAGCACGGTCAGTCTAACAGCTGCCCCCCCCTTTTCCCGTGGTAACAGGGCAGTCGAGATAAAGGACCTGGTTTCCCCCCATCCCCCTCCCTCCATGGCTCCGCCACCTTGGCTGCACCAGAGCGTGGCTGACCGATGCTGCACCGTGCCAAGGGAAGCTGGCCTGCCCATCCCCAGCCCCTGCTTTCCACCAGGAGTTGGCAACGCAGGGAAAGCAAGAAGTGGGAAAGTTAGTGCGGCTTTGGTCCCCCCCCCCCCCCCCCCCGGCCCCTGCAACGGGTATGCAGACCTGGGCCTTGCACACATCATCTTGGAGCCCGGCGCCGTCTGCTTGTCTGATTCCAACCGGGAGAAGAACCTTGGTGAACAACCCACATTTCACAGCCCATCCAAAGCCGTGGCTTCTCCTCATGGGCTGCTTTTGGCGAACGGACCGACAGCGCTGCCCTTGGTCCACCCTGGAAGCCGGGAGCAGCCTGGAGGTCATGTACCTTGGCCATTTGATTTGGGAGAAGGGCCTTTTTTCCAGGAACCTGCTCTCAATCCTTTGGAAGGTGTGGGCGCAAGGGACACACGGCCTTCCAGTTGCTGCAGATGTTCGCATCCCATCCATTGCCTATGCAGCCAGGGATTGATGGGAACTGTAGTCCAGTAATACCTAGAATGCCTTGGATTGCGCCGTACCTGATTTAGGGCTTTAAAGATGAAAGCCCACCTTTGAAATTGGGACCAGCATTGGACCAGATCGAACACTGGAGAAGAGCTTTTCAGTCCAAGAGGACTCGCTCACAAAGGCATACTTGCTCTAGAAATGTCCAAAGCCCCTTACCCCACACGTCTAGGATGCTCTGGGTTCGTTCTGCTTAGCAAAGAGCCCGCTCGAAAAGAAAAACACCCAACAAATGGCCCTATTCTGCTTGGAGCTGGCCTGTGAAGGGGGGTGCTGGAAAGACATAATCCCCTTTTGCAGGGGCCACTTCAAAGGGGTTTGCTGGACAGTTGCACAGGCCCCCTGGGGAGAAGCAGCGCCCGTCTCCTGCAGACGGCTTTGAAGTTTTGGCTCAGGTGCTGGAGTGGTGGCACTGGGCGTCTCTGGGATGGACTTTACCTCCCCGCTCGGCTCCCCAGCTGGGGCCAGCCCTGGTGGCAGAAATATCCGTGGGCAGGCACTGCAGACCCCATTCTCTGCATTGCGGAGGAGGGCTTTCTCTGCGGTGGCGCCCAACCTATGGAATTCACTCCCCAAAGAGGTCCGCCTGGCACCGTCGTTACTGGTTTTTCGGCGCCAGGTCAAGACCTTTTTATTTAAACATCATTTCAATGGTTAAAACATATGATCTGGCCGGGGCAACTTCTTCCTTCTCTTTCTCCTCCTATATTTTTATTTTATACTGATCATTTTAATTTTGTATTTGTAAATCAATGTATTTTTTTGTATGTTTCTATTGAATGGTAATTTATGATGTACTATTGTATTTCAATGTATTTTATCATGTTGTAAGCCGCCCCGAGGTTTCGGCAAGGGGCGGCATAGAAATGTTATAATAATAATAATACCCTTCTGGCTGGTTTGCCTCTCCGCATCATTCGTAAGTCCTTTTCTCCTTGCTTTTGGCTCGCTTTCGGGGTCCCCGCCCAACCAGCAGGGTGTGTTGGCAAGCACTGCGGGCACGCCAGAGAAGCTGTCGGGGATGAAATGGAGGAGGCGAGAGCAGGCCACCCCTTGGGCTTGGTGGCACCTTTGCCATGGGGCCAGCAGCTCAGGTGGGGCTGGGCACTGGGGTTGAAGTGCAGGGCCCCAAGGGCTGCCCAGGAGCGGCAAGCGATTCTCACACCTCGACGAGCATGCCAGGACGCGGCAGGGCAGGGCTGGTGCTTGATGCTGCGGTACCCTCGTTTCTTTTCTTGGGGAAGCTTCTCGGGGACAGCGGGCCGGACACAAAATGATCCCTCTAAGATCGGTCGGAGGGCGAAGAAGAAGTGAGGTGGGGGAACAAGAGCAATTATGATGAATTCATATCTTTGCTGCTTATATTCTTTTTGGTGCCTGGCAAAAACCGCTCTATTTGCCCATTCTTTTAATATTCAATTATTTTAATTAGATTTTAACATTGTCGTGCTCAGTACCGTTCTTGTGTTGTGATTTATTTATTGTAAGCTGTCCTGGGACATCTCGTAAAGTACAAATATTGTTTAATAAATGATAAATATTCATCCAACCCTTCAGCCCAGACAGGCTCCCAGAGCACCTTTTTTATTATTTTTTTATTATTATTATTATTATTATAACATTTCTATGCCGCCCCTTGCCGAAACCTCGGGGCGGCTTACAACATGATAAAATGCATTGAAATACAATAGTACATAATAAATTACCATTAAATATAAAAATACAAAAAATACATTGATTTACAAATACAAAATTAAAATGATCAGTATAAAATAAAAATATAGGAGGAGAAAGAGAAGGAAGAAGAAGTTGCCCAGGCCAGATCATATGTTTTAACCATTGAAATGATGTTTAAATAAAAAGGTCTTTACCTGGCGCCGAAAAACCAGTAACGACGGTGCCAGGCGGACCTCTTTGGGGAGTGAATTCCGTAGGTTGGGTGCCACCGCAGAGAAAGCCCTCCTCCGGGTACTTACTCTCCTAATTTCTTTCATGGAGGGTTCCCGGAGAAGGGACTCTCCCGCAGATCTCAAAGGGCGGTCGGGCATATACGGATATGATATACGGTAATTTGAAAGATGGCCACATCTATGTTCTCCAAGAGAGAGTTCTTCCATATGACACATCATTAATTTAC